AACCTCTGGCCCCGTGTCTCCTTGCCGGAGACCTCGCCCACACTGCGGTGGACGGGGGATGTTGGCGATGCATCGGTGTTCCGGGTCTGGGGTTCTCGTGCCTTTGTCCACGATACCACCACGGACAAGCTCTCCGCCCGCCCTATTCCCCGTGTCTTCCTTGGCTTTGTCCCTGACGCGCCTGGTTGGCAGTTTTACCACCCCACCTCGCGCCGTGTCTTCCCCTCTCAGGACGTCACGTTCGACGAGTCGGTTCCCTTTTACCGTCTCTTCCCCTACCGCACTGCCCCTCTCCCCCCCCCCGCCGCTCTTCCTCGCTCCAGGTGCTCCCCAGGTAGACCCCCTCCTCGCTCCCGGTCCTGCTCCTTCAGGTGTGTCTCAGGTAGACCCTCCTCCCTTGACTGCGCCGGTTGAGGTCACTGGTGACTCAGGTCCTGCTGAGGGTGGTCCTGCTCGAGGTGCTGCTTCTGGGGGTGCTGAGCGTGGGGGTGCGGAGCCTGGGGGTGCTGAGCCTGGGGGTGCGGAGCCTGGAGGTGCTGAGCCTGAGCGTGAGGAGTCTGGGGGTGCTGAGCCTGGGGGTACTGAGTCTGGGGGTGTTGCACCTGGGGGCGCGGAGGCGTCTGGTGAGCAGTCTCCCTGGAGCGGCCGTCTCCGTCGTCGCTCCGCTGGTGCCTCGCCGCTGCACTCTCGTCGTCGTCTCCCTCTCTCCCCACAGCAGCTGCCTGAGTGGTACGTTAGCCGTCAGGGTCGCGCTGCTGGAGCTAGGGGCCCTGCTGCGGGAGGCGCTGGAACTGGTGACTCTGCTACTGGAGTTGTTTCTACTGGAGTTCCTCGAGCAGCTGGTCCCGGAGGTGCTCGTGCTGGAGGTCCTGGAGCTGCTTGGACTGGAGGTCCTGCTGGACCTGGAGGTGCTGCTGTCGACTCTGAGGTTGGAGGCCCAAGAGCTGGAGGTGCCCGTTCTGGGGGTGCTACGGCTGGTGGCGCCGGAGCTGGAGGTTCTGCTGCGGGTGCTGGCGCTGGAGGTTCTGGAGCTGCTGCGGGTGCTGGCGCTGGAGGTTCTGGAGCTATCGGAGGTGCTGGCGCTGGTGGCGCTGGAGCTGGAGGTTCTGGAGCTGCTGCGGGTGCTGGCGCTGGAGGTTCTAGAGCTGCTGCGGGTGCTGGCGCTGGAGGTTCTGGAGCTGTTCGAGGTGCTGGCGCTGGTGGCACTGGAGCTGGAGGTTCTGGTGCTGCTGCGGGTGCTGGCGCTGGAGGTTCTGGAGCTGTTGGAGGTGCTGGCGCTGGTGGCGCCAGAGCTGGAGGTTCTGGAGCTGCTGCGGGTGCTGGCGCTGGAGGTTCTGGAGCTGCAGGAGGTGCTGGAGCTATTGGTGCTGGTGGCACTGCACCGCCGCGACTGTTCTTCGCTCCGCCGTCACCTTCGTCTCTGCCACCGCCTGGCTCCGTCCTTCGCCAGGTTCTTAGCCTCCCGTCTTCTACTGGTCTTCCGTTACAGCCTGGCTCACCGCTGCCTGCTCCTTCTCCTTACACTGAGCTGACAGGCGGTCTTGCTGAGCGTCGTGAGCCTGCGTCTTGTCCTGTCTCGCCTGTTTGCACTGTCCGCACTAGTTGTACTGGTCGTCGTGTTCCTCGTGAGCGTCCGCCGGCTGTCCCCGGCACACACCTCATGGCCCTACGTCCTTCCTCTGCTCCGCAGCGTGTTCTCCTGCCGTCCCCTCCTGCGTCTTCTCTGCCTGTCGTTGCTGAGCCTGAGTCTGACCGCGCTCGTACTGCTCACCCTACTGTCACGCGTTTGCTAGCCACTGTTGTCACTGACCCGTCGTTTGAGTCTGCTGCTGCGTCTGCCTTAGTCGCTGAGCTTGTTGACTTTGATGCTGCCTGTTGTCTAGACTACGCCGCTAGTCTTGTTGCTGAGTCTGAGTCTGTCTGTCCTCCGTCCGTCGGGGGTGAGTGTGCTCTGTCAGAAATAAGCAGTAGAAAGTTTAGAACAAGAAAAAGGGTTTGCACTAGCAGCAGTTGGCATACATATAGGAAACCCTAATTGGGTTGTACTCGCTATATAGTACCCCACTGCAGGCTAGACAATAGTAACATTCTGACATGCTCTTGGCACGGACGTCCTTGAGGACAGGCAGGAGGACCTTGAGTGTCTTGCAGCCGCTGCGCCTCATCTTGTGGCCATGCTGCTTGCCCCTGAGGGAGACCCGGATGCTCCAGACATCCCGACCCTGCGCTCTTACGCTGAGGCGATCGCGGGTGAGTACTCCTCTCAGTGGCAGACAGCCATGGACGTAGAGATGGCATCCTGGAAGTCCACAGGCACTTACGTCGACGAGGTTCCCCCACCTGGGGCGAACATCGTCAGTGGCATGTGGATTTTCAGGGTGAAGCGGCCGCCGGGTTCTCCGCCTGTCTTCAAGGCTCGTTACGTTGCTCGAGGCTTCAGTCAGCGCGAGGGAGTTGACTTCTTCCAGACCTTCTCCCCCACCTCGAAGATGACCACTCTTCGGGTGCTGCTGCACGTTGCCGCTCAGCGTGACTACGAGCTTCACTCTCTTGACTTCAGCACTGCTTTCTTACAGGGCAGCCTGCACGAGGAGATCTGGCTGCGCCGCCCACCTGGCTTCACTGGGTCGTTCCCTCGTGGTAACCAGTGGAGCCTCCGGCGGCCAGTCTATGGTCTCCGCCAGGCGCCGCGTGAGTGGCACGACACACTGAGGACGACACTTGCGGCTCTTAGGTTTGCTCCTTCCACTACTGACCCGTCTCTGTTTCTGCGCACCGACACTTCGCTGCCGCCGTTCTACATCCTCGTGTACGTCGACGACTTGGTCTTTGCCACTGCTGACACTGAGGCTCTCGCCCTGGTGAAGTCGGAGCTGCAGAAGAGACACACGTGCACAGACCTGGGTGAACTGCGCAGCTACCTTGGCTTGCAGATCACCCGGGACAGAGCACGCCGCACCTTCACACTGACTCAGTCACACATGGTGCAGCAAGTCCTTCAGCGCTTCGGCTTCACCTGGTCCTCGGCACAGGCCACTCCTCTGGCTACAGGTCACTCGCTCTCAGCTCCACCTTTGGACGAGTCCGTAGAGCCGAGTGGTCCTTACCCAGAGCTAGTGGGCTGCCTCATGTACCTGATGACCTGCACTCGTCCTGACCTTGCGTACCCTCTTGGCCTCCTGGCTCGCTACGTGGCTCCTGGTTGGCACCGAAAGGTGCACATGGATGCTGCTAAGAGGGTACTACGCTACTTGTGCAGTACATCGGGCATGGGGCTCGTGCTCGGAGGACGGGGCGACGTTGTCCTCACTGGTCACTCAGACGCTTCTTGGGTTGACGACCTGGCTACGCAGCGGTCGTCACAGGGTTACACCTTCAGTCTTGGCTCTGGCTCTGTTTCTTGGCGGTCTACACGCTCGTCTTCTGTTCTCGGCTCCAGTTGTGAGGCTGAGATCTACGCCACAGCCATGGCTGCACAGGAGTTACGCTGGCTCACCTACCTGCTGACCGACTTGGGAGAGAGGCCTCGTTCTCCTCCAGTTCTGTACGTAGACAACAAGGCCGCCATTACCTTGTGTCAGGAGCACAGACTGTAGCACAGAACGAAGCACATCGCTCTGCGTTACTTCCTTGCTCGAGAGTTGCAGCAGCGTGGTCAGCTTCGTCTTGCTCACGTGGCCACTCGGGCCAACCCTGCTGATATATTCACCAAGGCACTTCCGTCTGGTGATCATCAGCGTTTTTGTACTTTGTTAGGCCTTGTGCACATGTTTCCTCACTTGTTGTAGACGTTGTCTGTACTGTGATCTATATATATACCTGCATGTTTGCTCTGCTAGATAGAGATCAATGTGCTGTTGTTGTTGCACATACACCTCTGCATGTCAACTGGCCTTGTGGCCCCTCTGCTTGTGCTCAGTGTGTGTGGTGACGTTGTGATCCACCTTGAGCTTGCTTTGCTTCTCTTGACTGGTCTTGTGACCCCTTGCTCTCCCCCACTTTGCCTATGGGGGTGTGTCAAATTATATGCATGCTATATATGTTTAGGCTGTAGTGGGGTAGCCAACATGGGGTACAGCCCCTCTTAGGGTTTCACACTTGTACCCAACACTTTCATACTGCATTCATTCCTGCTAGTAGATTCTAACAGCCGTTTGCGACCAGTGCCAGCAGCTTCAGCGGCCGCCCACCTCCTCTCCTCTCCAGTTTCCTCCTCCTCCCGCTTCACTAGTTATTGCTGTAGGCAGTTTAGGGGGTGTGTTGAAGAAAATCTATTGTTATGTTTTCTTATAAACTGCCAACAGCTTTGACAGTAGTGTAGTGTAGCTTCTTGTGGGTGGTGGTGCACCTTTGTGCCCACCCTTTCTCCTACTTGTACCCTTGTTCCTAATTATCCAACCCTCTTTGGCCAACTTATCCATCCTCTCGCTATGTTTCTCCTTAGCTTCTCAAACCCTAAGTCCTAGCTACTAAGTACGATTCTGACACAATATTCATGGTGTTTCCTGCTTTCCGATTCGTCCAAAAATTGATGGCCAATCAAATTGCAGCGCACTTCTCGTAACCACAATTCGCAACCAAAACATCACTCAGAAAGAAATCCGATCAACTTTAATAAGCTTGCCCCGCGCGCTCTGCAATTTGGGCCTAGAGCTTTAAGATTTGCACATTTTGCCTTGGGATTTTAAAACCTTACAACCTATCCACCTAACAATTTATCCAATGCTGTTTGTTTTTAGCGAGGACATCTTCAGTGGGCCCACCTCGCATTTCCCTCAAAACCCTTCAAACCCCTCATTCTCGCTTTGCAGTTTTGACCCCTTCCCGCTTCCCCAACCAACCTATGTGATTTGACCCGTTGAGACAGCAAGTAGCTAGTCTTGCCTGCCTTAGTTGCTTTCTTTGCTGCCATGGCAGCGGGCAAGGGAACGAGCGCTGAGAACCCTAATCGCGCGGATCGCGGGCAGGTGGAGCGAGCCGTGCAATCGTTAGTCAAATGGATGACCGCGCGACGAAAAGCGAAATCGGAACACGAGCTTTTCGCGGAGGACGACGACGAGCTGATTCACGTGGTAATCGGGCTCAAGTCTTCGCCAGAATTCGCCAAGACGAGCGGGTTTCGCCTGCCGATCCCGCATTCGCTGTATCCATTGGATGCGGGCAAGGAGGTCTGCTTGCTGGTCAATGACGACCCCAAGGGCGGCCATAAAAAATCCAAGGAGAACTTCCTGAAGCAGGTCAGTGCGTCGTTCGGAGAGCGAGGCTTCACATTAAGAGGGCTTTGGGGAGGCTGGGGTTTAAGAATGGCTCTATTGCTGTGTGTGAGGAACAAGCGGGTCACGGAGGTTTCTGGATTTTCTCTTCAAACGGGGATGGCGGCACGGGTTTTAAGAGGGTATCGTCGGTCGCTGGAGGGACGTAAACCACCATGCGCGTAATCATTTATGTCCCTCTTCGCAAGGGTGAAATCCTGAATACGAGCATCGTAATTTTGGCATATCCATCTATACACGTCGCAGCATGGCAGCAGAATTCCCACCTGAACGCATGAACTCAAAGCTCACTTAAGCACTTTTAGACTCACGCAGACACACGCGGACGCACGCGGACACGCGCGCACTCGCGCGGACCTACACTGTGGGCAAACGTCATCAGAAAAGGCAAACATACCCCTCCTCATTCTACCCTACTCCACCCTGCTACCCCATCTTATCCAACCCCACACATCCTCCCCTCTTCGCTCTAGCTCAGGGCTTTCGTTTGGTCAGAGGAAATCAGCAAAGTCACAGGCGTGACGAAGCTTCGCACAAGCAGTATGAGGCCAATCGTGTAACGTGCCCTAATTTCGCTACCCCTCCCCACCTTTGCATCTCTCTCCCAGATTCGAGCAGGGATCACTAAGCTGATGAGTCCAACCAATCACAAGCAGTACGATGCCAAGCTCCTCACCATGCCTTATTCTTCCTATCCCACCCCCACCTACCACTCGCCAGGGTTCAGCACGGGTCAGCAAGGTGATTGACCTAACCAAGCTGCGCTCCAAGTACAAGCAGTACGAGGCCAAGCTCCTAAATATGCACTGCTCCCTTCCCCCCCCCCCTCCTTAATCCCCCCAGGGTTCCACGGGCATCAACAAGGTAGTCGGGCTGACCAAGCTGCGCACCAAGTACAAGCAGTACGAGGCGAAGCCCCTTAACATGCCCTATTCTCCCTCCCTCCCTCCCCACACCACCTTTGAAACTCCCCAGGGTTCAGCCGGCATCACCAAGGTGATCGGGCTGACCAAGCTGCGCACCAAGTACAAGCAGTACGAGACGAAGCCCCTTAACATGCCCTATTCTCCCTCCCTCCCTCCCCACACCACCTTTGAAACTCCCCAGGGTTCAGCCGGCATCACCAAGGTGATCGGGCTGACCAAGCTGCGCACCAAGTACAAGCAGTACGAGGCGAAGCGGCAACTGCTCGGCTCGTACGACCTCTTCCTGGCTGATATTGACATCATCCACCAGCTGCCCCCCCTTATTGGCACAAAGTTCTTTAAGAAGAAAAAGCATCCCATCCCTGTGAAGCTCCGGGGGAAGGACTGGGCGAAGAGTGTGCGAGAGGCGTGCGATAGCACGTATTTGTATGTGAGTGGGGGCCCGTCGATGAGCGTGCGGGCGGCGAGGTTCGGCATGAGTGAGGCGGAGATTGTGGGGAATGTGATGGCGGTGGTGGCGGGGGCGGTGGAGCATGTGCCGAAGAAATGGAAGAATGTGAGCTCGTTGCATATACGGGCCACGGACTCGCTCGCTCTGCCCATCTACATGGCGGAGGTTGATTTGCCGACAAAAATGGCTGTGAAGGTGGTGGAGCGGCAAGGGGGGGAGGAGGGTGTGGAAAGGGAGGAGGGAGGAGGGGATAAGGAGGTGGGCAAGGGGAAGAGGAGAAGAGGGAGCACAGGGGGTAAAGTGGGAGGTGTGAAGGCCAAGAAGCCCAAAGTAATGAAGAGGAGGTTGTCCACTTGAAGGGCGCTCGTGGTAAAATTTCTTAGGGAACAGTAAACCGTGCAATATCCCATGTACCGTACATTCTGGTACATATAACCCTCTGTGACATCTACGCAGTCTGCTTATTTCCTTAGGAGCTTGGCTTGCTGATGTGTTGTGCTCTGCTCTATGTGCTTGCAGCTACCAAGTGCCTTACTCTGCTGCCAAGACAACGCTGTTTTTTGCTGCAGATAAAGTGTGGTGTGGCATTGTTAAGTTTGCAATTGATGTAGGCGAGTACACTCCTCTGTCGTGGTGTAGCTTTGGTAGGTTTGTGATTCACATCAGTCGGTTCGGTTCGGACCTCCACTTGGATTCACATCTGATTACGAGGTGACTACACATCTGATTACGAGGTGACTTAAGGGTGTGCTTCGCAGACAAGACAATGCAATGCATACATGCAGGGGCTGGAAGGTGATATGAATCTACCGTCACCCATACGAGCTTGTCTAAAAATCCTGATAGTGGTATAAGCAGAGCAAGCTTGCTATTCCAATGACAGCAGATGCATTAGTTTCTGGAACATATGGTAGTTGTGAGCATACCTATCACAAGCATTGATAAATTACACAACCAAGGTCAGTGTTAAGGGGAAAGAAAGACGGTGGTACCAACCAGCAAGTGTATTGGGATAGATTACACACCCCAACAAGGGCAATCAGCTAAGGCTCCATGAGATCTGTATGGACTTGAACCGATGGCAGAAAGAAGGATTGCAGTGCAGTGATGACAGAAGCAAGAAGTGCTGTGCTGTGAGTAGGTCACATCAAGTGATGCACACGCACAGCACCATCGGTTCATCCTTTTTATGCCTTCATTCTCCTCTTAGTACTGGCGGGCCTGCCCTCCGACTTGATCTCCTGTGCCTCCTCTTCGAAGTCTGCTGCTCTGAAGATGTGAACCTGTCAAAGCAGGGGATGGTGAGCATGGAAGAGACTTTGAGTCGACTCAGAAGGCTCCTTCTGACTCTCACATGTACCCCTATCAAGCTCTGCTGCTCTGAAGATGTGAACCTGGCATTTCAGGAGATGGTGAAAACATAGAAGAGACATTGAGTCGACTCGAAAGTCGCCTCGTTACAATGCCCAAAGGCAAACGACACAAAATCTGCTGCTCTGAAGATGTGAACCTGCGTTTCAGAAGATGATGAACACTTCAAAGTGGCTTCTGGATCGAGTCAATGTGAACCTGCCATTCCCCTCGTTACAAAGGCACACGGCACGAAATCTGCTGCTCTGAAGATGTGAACCTGCGTTTCAGAAGATCATGAGCATCATCGACAGAACATCGTAGGGAGCCAAAAAGAATGGGGCCGTCATTTCAATCCTTGGTTTCGCCGGTCGCCCTCAGGCCCTCGCTCACCAAGTAGCGCACATCCATACCTCCTGTGCATCACTTGGGCTCAGCTTGAGCAAGCCTGAATTCAAGATGACTTCTGGGTCCACTCAAAAGCCACCTCTCATCAAGTAGCGCACATCCATACCTCCCATGTATCACTTGGGCCCAGCCCCAAGCGAGCGTGAATTCACACTTCCTAACAGCACCACCGAACATACCTAGCATGATCCCCCCACCACCGAACATACCAAGCATACCCACACATGCCTACCTTGAGCGTGTGCGGGTCCATCTTCTCAAACACTACGGCATCGCCCGCATCCAGCTCTTGATCCATAGCAAACCCCCGCTTCATCCCCATCATGCCCCAACCCAACCTTACCTAACCACACATGTATACACCTTCACCGCACTGCACCGATATGTGTACCTTAAGAGTGTCTCGATCCATCTTCTCAAACACCACCGCGTCGCCCGCATCCAATTCCTGATCCAGAGAAAATCCCCGCTTCACCCCATCATACCCCAACCCAACCCTGCCTGACCTTGAACATATACACCTGCACCGCACTGCACCCACATGCGTACCTTGAGCGTGTGCGGGTCCATCTTCTCAAACACTACGGCATCGCCCGCATCCAGCTCCTGATCCATAGCAAACCCCCTCCACCCCATCATATCCCAACCCAACCCCGCCTGACCTTGAACGTATACACCTTCACCGCACTGCACCCACATACATACCTTGAGTGTGTGTGGGCCCATCTTCTCAAACACCACGGCATCGCCCGCATCAAGCTCCTGATCCATTGCAAACCCCCGCCACCCGCCACTCAACCCCGTCTTGTGCGGCAGGTAGGTGGCACGCCACTCGCCCTCCCCCACCGCATACACCCCTCCCATCACCGCCCTCCTCTCCCCCAGCAGCTGCTGCAACCCCCCCTCCTCCGAATCCCCCTCTTGCGACCCCTGCTTTCCGCCCCTCGCCCGTTTTCGGTCTGCCTTCACGTCTCTCCTGTTTCCCTCCCCGTCCCCATCTCCCTTTTTTCCGGTGCTGTCTTTTGAATCGCCGCTAGTGCCTTGAGAGGAATCCCCACCTCCACTGCTGCTCTTAAAATCAGGTGACTTTTGAGTCGAATCAAAAGTCACCTCGCTGGTGCCTTGAGAGGGATCGAGTTGAGCACTGTCTTTCAAATCTGTAGTGCCTTGAGAGGAATCAACTCCGGTGCTATCCTTGGGATCCGCAGTGCCTTGTGGGGGGTCGACTTTGAGAGTGAGAGTGGCTATGCTGCGAGGGAGGTGTGCTGTGCAGAAGCTTCTGTTCAGGCCCTGCAGACGGGGAGGAAAGTGGGGATAGCGAGATGGAAGAGAGATGAGGAGGGGGGGCAGTGAGAACGAAGTGGAGTGAGATGACTTCGACCTACAGAATTGGTGAAGAACAGAGATGAGTGGTGCGGTCTGCTTAATGCAAAGGATTGTGGCAGTTGCCTTGTTTTGCCTGAGGTACATTTGTGTGCCGCTTGTTTGCTTCTGTGTGCGGTTGATTCTTCAAGTCGTGTGAATATAAGGTGCTTCTTGGTCTTGTGACACCCATTTGAACGAACGTTTGCGACATCAAAACGTGTGAGGACGTAGTAATTTGTTTGTTTGTTTCTTTTTGTTTTTGTAATATTTGTCCCCCATTATCATCTTCTGCTTATATTAGTGAATGACAGTGCCAGTAGGGTATAAACAGGAAATCATGAAATAAGTGAAACAAGAAGTCAAACCGAGGACTGAGACAGAAAACAACAACTGTGAGAGAGAGAGAAAAGAAACAAAACAAAACAAAGCGACAAGTGGTAAATGACACAAGGAGGAAAAAAAGACACGCCGACGGAGAGAGATGGACCAGCCAGAAGTCGCCTGGACACGGCGAGAGTAGGGCCTCTTTTAAGAGCAGGGCCTCTTTTGAGGCGCCTCAGAAACCGCGGGACTTTTGGGACGCCCGCGGAAGAAAGAAGTGATCAAGAGAACATCGAGGCCACAGAAGGCGTCAAGAAGATGGAGGGAGATGGAGGGACACGGACCAGCCAGAAGCCGCCGGACATCTGAGACGGGTGGATGTGCTTTCCCATGCAGGGCGAGGGCAGGGCGTCCATGAGCCTGTCTGCCGCCCTCAGAGCCGCCTCCTGTGCCTCTACAGATGTCACCTGCCTCGGTTGAGAGGTGTTTGCACCGCTGCTTGCTCGTGGCTTGCTGTGAGGGGTATGTTAAACCATGTGGGACAGACACGTGCACGCATGGAATCAGAGCCGCCTCCTGTGCCTCTACATATGTCACCTGCCTCGGTTGAGAGGCGTTTGCACCACTTGTTCCTAGCTTTCTGAGTAGGGTAGGTTATGTGGGTAGTTGACGGTATGCCATGCGGGACAAGCGCACGGAATCAGAGGCAACGTGGTGACTGTGTGAGGGAATGTTTAGACGTTTCACAGAGAGCTGGGAAATGTCTGAACAAGCGCACGGAATCACAGGCAACGTGGTGACTGTGAGGTTAGTTGAGGTTAGATGGCGTTTCAGTTGAGAGAAAATGGCAATCGTTGCAAGGAGGGTAAACACTATTTTTCCAGAGGTGGACAGTGTCACAGTGCTTACTTCGGATTCCCAAAAGCTCAGAGGAGTCAACAACGAGGAGTCTCTCCCTTTTGCGCGGAAAACAGTATGAATAACTTTTCAAATTATACAAAAAAAAAAATGTCAAAGAAAGAATGTGAAATTCGTGTACTCCATGCCGCCATGCGTCTCTTTCATCTGCTACCTTCTAGCTCTTGTCTCGGAGGGCAACACATTATGGCGTCATTCTAGTCTAGCTCTGGCATTGCCACTGAGCCATCACTGTCATCATGGCTGAGGGCCTCAGCTTCTATACCGCATCTCTCTCTCATCCCACCTACCGAGCATAGCAGTCAGAATTTCTTGGCTACGACCCTCAACTTCTATCCCTATAACTACCCGTAACCCGCCTAATCTTGCGGCTCGCAAGCATTGAAAGAAGTTTCAAGTCGGTTATTCTTGGCTTGGGGCAAAACGGTTCTGGTTCTGCCTGACTTGAACTGGTCCGAGCGGTTCCAACGGTTCTGGTGCGAGTGCTGGCCCAGGTTCTACTTTTGAGGTGACCTTTGAGTCGACTAAGTGACTTTTTGAGTCGACTCAAAAGTCACCTTGTGCTGGCCCAGGTTCTACTTTTGAGGCGGTTCCAACAGTTCTGGTGCGAGCGCCGGCCCAGGTTCTGGCGACAAACACACTGTTAGACAGACTATTCCGCCCAACCTACCACCCCCACCAAGCTACCTCACTACCACGATTCTTTTTGCACCAGAACCGAACCAGAACTTGTTCCCTCAATCATGGTCGGGCCAAGCCAAGTATCGGTTCGGCCCGAACCGGTTCGGGCAACTGGCCGGTTCGGGCCGAACCGGCTCTGGCTCGACTGGACTGGGTATGAACTGGACTGGTTCTGGTTCAGTTCTTGCTATGAATGAAAGAATTCAAAACGACGACGAAAGAAAACAAGCAAGGAAGAAAGAGGAAACTAAAGGTAGCAAGCAAGCATGTAGGAAAAGGGCAAATGAAGGGACAAGAAAGAAAGGAAGGAAAAAAAGAAAGAGAGAAAGAAAGAAAGAAAGAAAGAAAGAAAGAAAGAAAGAAAGAAAGAAAGAAAGAAAGAAAGAAAGAAAGAAAGAAAGAAAGAAAGAAAGAAAGAAAGAAAGAAAGAAAGAAAGAAAGAAAGAAAGTAAGAGAAAGAAAGAATGAATTAATTAAGGAAAGAAAGGAAAACAAAAACAGCAGAAACAAAAAAAAACAAGAGAGAAAAGTGAAAGAAACGGGAAAGAGAAAGCAAAGGCACAGTATGATCCTTAATGAAGCAAAGCCACGCCATAGGCACTGGCTTAATCAGCCGGGCCTCAGTGAGAAGCGTATGTTTGTAGTATCACATATCATCTTTTCCCACCACTATAAAAGGTTGTCTTATTTGTAGAAATTCTTATGTTCCAGTTTAGGTTAATGAGTTCTCGTGTCCTGATAAGGGTTAATTTCTATACTTATCATTTTCCATGCATCAATCGAAAGCATCTTTCTTCCTTGCAGCCTCCATGACTGTCAGAACAGAAAACAACAAAACATGTTCACTCGCTCCGCTAGCCTGGCACTAGTTTTGAGACGTCTCAAAACTCAAAAAAGCTTGAGACGTCTCAAAACTAAAAAAATATTGAGACGTCTCAAAACCACATTCACTCGCTCCGCTAACCTGACACTCACCAGCATTTGAAGCAGCCTCCCACACGCCCGACACGTCCTCTTGCCTTCCACTCCAGTGGCCTAACACTCACCAGCCAGAAGCAGCCGCGCACGTGCGCATCTCTATCCACTAGCCTAGCCAAGGCAAGCCACTAGCCTAGCTAGGCACACCACTAGCTTAGCCAAGGCACTTCACTAGCCCAACTGCACTCACCAGCCAGAAGCAGCCGTGCACGTGAGATCGCACCATCGCCTTCACCATCGCCAACCCTTCTCCCTTTCCTCTCCGTCCTTCTCCCATCTTTCCCTTATCCTTTCCTTGCCGCGCAGCCGCCCCATCCGCCTTCAGAGCGTCAGCCAGAGAGAGGGCTGCTCTCAGCGCCTTTTCCTCTGCCTCTGGTGAGGCTGGCACGCGGCGGTGATACTCTGCCTCGCGGCTCACACGGCGGCCCGCTTGCCTGCGAACCGCAATAGCAGCACATGGGAGGAAAAGCATAGCTTTGAGAGCTTTAGCAAGCGGGAGTGCAGCTCTCAGCGCCCTTTCCCCTGCCTCTGGTGAGGCTGGCACGCAGCGGTGGTACTCCGCCTCGCGACTGCACTTCCCCCATTCTTGCCTGCGCACCACAAATGCAGCAGGTGCATGGAGACGCGTTACTTCTGAAAGCTTCAGCCAGTGAGTGAGAGTGCTGCTCTCAGTGCTCTCTCCTCTGCCTCGGATGAGGCAGGCACACGGCGGTGGTACTCTGCCTCGCAGCTCACACAACCCGCTTGCCTGCACACCGCAAATGCAGCAGGTGGGAGACATTGTTGGCTTTTGAGACGTCCCATAATCTCCACCCCTCCCGTTTCAGCTTACACGCCCCACTTGCCTGCGTGCCACACATCACCTGACCCTCACACGCCCCCTTTGCCACATAACAGCTCACATACCACACCACACACTTCCTCCCGGTATGGATGCACATGGCCAGTCGGATGCCTCGTGATGTGACGACTTTGCTCCCTTAGATGTCCGTATTCATGCCCTCCGTAAACCCCCTCCTGAAATTCTTGCCTCCCATTGTTCACTAATAGAGCAGCTGTTGAGTTTTCCACTTAAGTTGACGGTGTCAGTAAAGGCACCAGCGACAGCGAGCCACTCCTGTTCTAAGCGGTCTCGGCCAGTCGAAATTCGATGGTGAGGTATGTGTACATACACACCATCGACATTCGTCTGTGCGATGCACACCACACCACCAACGTGTCTCGCTCGCAACCAGCCGATACGGCAGCCAATTGCAGAGAACCATGGCTTTCCAATTGCGAGGCTCTTTCTGATTCGTGGGACACACACCACCAACGTTTATCTCTTTCCAACCATTCAGAGAACTATAGCCAAGTTCATGCCAAGTTGATGCCAAGTTGACAACACATAGCCATTCCACTCTGCTGTGCACAAAAACCCATTTTGGCGATACTTCAAGACAGAAACTTATACAAGGACTCCTCCCTTGCCAGCCTCCCCCCCCTTCTCCACCCCCCCTAAGAAATCAACGCAACTCTGAGTTCTTCCTTGCATGAACATAAGGCAGATCCCCCATCGAAGGTCTTCTTGTCATTGATGGGCAAGTAATCACCCATCAACGACAAGAAGAACTGTGCTTGAAAGCAGAATTGAAACATGAGCACGAGTTGGGCCGAGCCAGCCTCGAATGATTCAAACTGCCTCTGGGTCGACAGTGGTTCGGTCCTAGTCGGGTTGAGTAGAATGTGCCGAACACGCTTGTATGGCCGAGCTGGGGCTTGGCTCAAGTCTAGTATCGTCAATAATATAGACCCGAGCTGCCCTGGGCTGCGAGCGCTTTTTTACGGTTATAGATTACGGTTAAATTCCAGTGTTTTTTCCCTTTTTTTCAAGTGCTTTGGTCGGTCCCTGATACAAATAAAAAGAAAAAGGAGAATACTAAATCCTGACTAACTGAGACTGAACCACTTATTCAAGACGCACCTTAGTAGGAGGGGATTGTTTTAGAACCCTATGGAATAAACATTTTACAACAATATTCAGCAGGATGACTGCAAAGCAAACCATCAACTGGTGTGAAAGTTAAGACGGGGCAAAAAAAAAACAAAAAAAAAACCAAACAAACAAAGAAAGAACGAAAGAAAGGAAGAGAGAAACAAAGAAGGAAAGAAAAAAGAAAAAGAAAAAGAAAGAAAGAAAGAAAGAAAGAAAGAAAGAAAGAAAGAAAGAAAGAAAGAAAGAAAGAAAGAAAGAAAGAAAGAAAGGAGAGAAAGAAAGAAAGAATTTAGAAAGGAGCTAAAGAAAGAAAGATTTTAGAAAGGAGAGAAAGAAAGAAACAAAGATAAAAAGGGACAAAATATCGAACGACAGAAGAAAGTCCCCATAATATTTTTTTTATATAACATGGGTAAAGCATTTATGACTAAAACTGATTGGCTGGCCGAAATGTCGCACTGGTGAGCAGAGCAGATCCAAACGTGCTGCTCGACTCGAATCCATCGTCTTCTTCGCCCCCCCCCGCTCGGCCTTTGAGGCGCATCAAAAGCAAAGTACGAAGAAGGCTCTAACCGGTGCGAGCTTGTAGTTACCTTGAAATCTTTAGCTAAACACGAGGTCCTAAGGTGTGGGCGGGTTACAGATGGGCGGGTTACAGATGGGCTACTAGCATAGTAAAAAGAGGCAAAAAAACACTTCTGTGAATCACTAGTAATACTGTAGGAGTACGCGTGTTTTGGCCGGAGCCGTCATCAGCATAAGAGTTTCACAGAATGACTGGAGCTATCCTGCTTCCTACCCCTCCACTGTTAACTTCCCAAACCCCCGAATTCCTGTTCCCATGAGAGAGAACCTTTCCCATTGAAAGGTCAAGGGACTGCCGTAACTACCTAGTAGGTGAGCTTCTGCAATCGAATCATGCTCCTACCAACCGACCGGTTCTGTAACCAAGAAGGTAACTTCCAACAAACAAAAAATTGAGGCAAAAATCGTCCCAAAACCGGCTCAAATTGAATGGCTTATGAGAAATCTCAAAAGTGACTCAAAAATCAAATGTGCTGCTCGACTCGAATCGAATCGAATCAATCGATTTCTATGAGCGCCCAACCCCCTTCGGCTCGATAGATTTATAAAGCCAAGCCAACCCCAGGATGTGGCTCATCTAGCCGGATCAACTCGGCCCGAATCGATTCGATCTGAGATCCTAAAAAAAGAGACTCGACTCGGGTCAAGACAAGACAATCCAAGGCTCGGCGTGTTTATCATGTCTAATCTACCTTGCACGCATGTCGACTATTTAGTCGAACCAAAACTATGTCCACCTTGCACGCTTATTAGCGTTCTCGTGGTGAATATCAAGTTTGTCTCCCAATTCGTTTATGGAAATTGAAGAGACTCACCTTGGGCGAGCCAGTGGCTTGACTTCGACCTGTGAAGTGAAGGATGCAAAGGGAGGCAGGAGAAGGCAAGAACGGAGAAAAGGATGGATGCAATGCAAGGGTTACAATGGGTATGTCACTGCAGAACAGTATGCAGAAAAAGAGCATAGAAACAAAGCTCTTGCAGACTCGCATGATGAGATGAGATTTGAGACCACAGAGCACAGCCCGCCCGCACACAGCTCCTGACGTCTCTTGGTTTTAACTTCTGAGGCGTCTCTCGGCCTTGCTCCCTTGGCCGCCATGCGAGCCAACGTACGCAGCGGCTACTATTGCCATCCCTGGGTTGTGCCTTGTGCCTTACCCCTCTTCCACCTTTTCCCCTCCCCCCAACCCTGGTTTCCATCCCATCCACCTCACCTCCTCAACGTATCTTGGTCGGTCCCCCTTGGCGGCCATGCGAGCTGACTTGCGTTGTGGCAGCAGCAGCTCCCGCTGCCTCGGCGCCCTCCTCACCTCGCTGCGCGGAGTCTGCGGGGTTGGGAGGAGTGAGGAGGCGTGAGGATGGGGGAGGGAGGGAGGGAGGGAGGGAGGGAGGGAGGGAGGGAGGGAGGGAGGGAGGGAGGGAGGGAGGGAGGGAGGGAGGGAGGGAGGGAGGGAGGGAGGGAGGGAGGGGATGGAGGGAGGGAGGGAGGGGATGGAGGGAGAGAGGGAGGGGATGGAGGGAGAGAGGGGAGGGAGGGAGGGAGACAGGGGAGGGAGGGAGGGAGACAGGGGAGGGAGGGAGGGAGGGAGGGAGGGGAGGAAGGGAGGGAGGAAGGATTGACCTTTCTTACTCGAGGTTCCTTCCTCCTTTCCATGGTTCATTCGTGCGTCAACCAACGTTTCACAAAGTGATATCTCCCGCCTCATCCTGAATCCAGCCACCTGCAATAGTCAACTCAAAGGCTGAGAATCTTGCAGCCTCGGACGCTCGTCACAGGCCCAGCGGAGCTGGCTAGATGAGCCGGTTCGACGATCCTGTCAATCAGGTTCGGCGATCATGTCGTTTTGAGGCGCCTAAAAAAAAAGTAAAGTTTTACAATACAGTTTTTGAGGCATGAATCGGTCCCACTAGAAGAAAAATATTGAACGGGGGTAAATGGGAGGGAGAGATGAGAGGGGCATGAGAAGCAACAAGAGAAAAACAGGGCGCAGATATACTACAGCACTGAGGTGCCTCGAAACGAGAGGAACGCCAGGAGTGGCATGAGAAGATCAGGTGAGAATCAGTTAAATTCTCTAGGCGCATCCTAAAAGAGAGGAGCACATGGAGAAGGACAAGGCCATAAGAGCGCCTGAAGGACTTTGAGAAACCTCAAAAGAGCGGAGCGCAGGGGCACGGCACGGGGAGTGGAAGGAACTCACTGTGGGCTTGCTCTCCTGCGAGGATGACAGATCCCTCGACGCCTCCAGTATTCCCAGCTCCTGATGGCCGCATGCAGAGAGGGGTGGGAGGGGTTTGGAGGTGGTGGGAGGTGGTGATGAGAGAGGTCAGCACGTAAAGGCCGCAGGAGGAGAGCTCCCTCGAGGCCTCCAGTATGCCCAGCTCCTGATGGCCGCAGGGAGGGAAGAAAGGGAGGGGAGGGGTGCGAGGCGTGGGAGGTGGTGACGAGAGAGGAAGAGAAGGAAGCAGTAAGCAAAGGGCACAAGAGGCTTGGTCACTTGAGGTGTCAGTAGCGGACAGGTGGGCTGCGGAGGCCTTACTTCCATCAACTCGTGTGGTTCTTAGGACAACGAGACAAGCCCTATGGAACGGGTGAACAGAAGAATCCTGGTTTGCTGCAAGCTAGAGCCAGTTTGAGCAAATCTTCAACTTAAAATCAGAAAGTGCAAGAGGCTTGGTCACTTCAGGCATGCAGTATGTCCAGCTCCTGATGGCCGCAGGCAGGGAGGGAGAAGAGGGAGGGATGGGAGGTGGTGGTGACGAGAGACGAAGAGACGTAAGAGGACAGCTTTCTGAGGGTTGTAGTATGTCCAGCTCCTTATGGTCGCAGGCAGGGAGAAGTGGGAGGGGGATGGGAAGGGTGGGAGGGGCTGGAGGGGTGGGAGTGAACGGGAGTTGTGAGGTGGGGGAGAAAGGGCGACGACACAGGATGTCTCGCTTGGGGCTTGATTAATGCCTGGCACCCGACGCCTGGAGGTATATGTGAAAGGGTTGGGAGGGGCGGGAGGGGTGAGTGGGTGGGTTTGGAGGGGTGGGGGGGGTGAGAACAGGAAATGTTCGAGGAGAGGAAGGGGAAAGCAAGTAGAAGCCTGAAACAGGCTTGGGCGCCTGAGGCTTCAGGTTTGGGGAAAGCTTCCCGTATTCCCAGCAGCACGATTTTTAAGGCGCCTCAAAAGGCAAGTAGAAGCACAGCACAGGCTCGGGCGCCTGAAGCTTCCTGTATTCCCAGCAGCATGGGATGGAAAAACAAGGAGGGAGAAACAGAAGGAGAGGTGGCAGGGGGGGGGGGGAAGGGGAAAGGGGACAGGGAGAAGTGCGAGGCGAGGTATGCGGAGGAGAAGGGAGATGATTTTGAGGCGTCTCGGAAACACAAGGAGAGGCGGCAGGGAAAAGGGAGAGGGCGAGGTGGAGGCGGGGCACAGGATTTGTCGCTTGAGGATTCCAGCTCGGGAGGGGGAGAGGGGAAAGGGGAAAGTGCGAGGTATGAGGGGCAGAGAAGGGAGAGGGCGAGGTGGAGGTGGGGCACACACTTGGATGCTCGAGGCTTCCAGCTCGGTAAAGGGGGGAGAGGAAGGGGGAAAGCGCGAGGTATGGGGGACAGAAAAGGGAAAGGGCAAAGGGGAACGCGCAAGGTATGAGGGGCAGAAAAGGGAAAGGGGAAAGCGCGAGGTATGGGGGGCAGAAAAGGGAAAGGGGAAAGGCGAAAGCACGAGGTATGGGGGGCAGAAAAGAGAAAGGGGAAAGGGGAAAGCGCGAGGTATGAGGGGCAGAAAAGAGAAAGGGGAAAGAGGAAAGCGAGAGGTATATGAGGGGCAGAAAAGGGACAGGGCGAGGTGGAGGTGGGGCACAGGCTTTGTCGCTTGAGGATTCAAGCTAGGTAAAGGGGGGAGGGGAAGGGGGAAAGCGCGAGGTATGGGGGGCAGAAAAGGGAAAGGGGAAAGAGCGAGGTATGGGGGGCAGAAAAGGGAAAGGGGAAAGGGGAAAGCGCGAGGTATGAGGGGCAGAAAAGGGAAAGGGGAAAGGGGAAAGCGCGAGGTATATGAGGGGCAGAAAAGGGAAAGGGGAAAGAGCGAGGTATGAGGGGCAGAAAAGGGAAAGGGGAAAGGGGAAAGCGGGAGGTATGAGGGGCAGAAAAGGGAAAGGGGAAAGGGGAAAGCGCGAGGTATGAGGGGCAGAAAAGGGAAAGGGGAAAGGGGAAAGCGCGAGGTATATGAGGGGCAGAAAAGGGAAAGGGGAAAGAGCGAGGTATGAGGGGCAGAAAAGGGAAAGGGGAAAGCGCGAGGTATGAGGGGCAGAAAAGGGACAGGGGAAAGGGGAAAGCGCGAGGTATGAGGGGCAGAAAAGGGAAAGGGGAAAGGGGAAAGCGCGAGGTATGAGGGGCAGAAAAGGGAAAGGGGAAAGCGCGAGGTATGAGGGGCAGAAAAGGGACAGGGGAAAGGGGAAAGCGCGAGGTATGAGGGGCAGAAAAGGGAAAGGGGAAAGGGGAAAGCGCGAGGTATGAGGGGCAGAAAAGGGAAAGGGGAAAGGGGAAAGCGCGAGGTATGAGGGGCAGAAAAGGGACAGGGGAAAGGGGAAAGCGCGAGGTATGAGGGGCAGAAAAGGGACAGGGGAAAGGGGAAAGCGCGAGGTATGAGGGGCAGAAAAGGGAAAGGGGAAAGGGGAAAGCGCGAGGTATGAGGGGCAGAAAAGGGAAAGGGGAAAGCGCCATTTTGTGAGGCGCCAGTACGGGGCAGCACAGCACGATGCTTCCGACTCAAATGCCTCACACGCGCCCCATCATGGGCACCTCGAGTGCTGGTGACGCAGCGAGGAGCCCTCATGCTGCCACTCACTCTCGGAAAGTCCGACTTCTGGACGCCTCAAAAATACTTTTCATTGCACAAATAAACCTCGGTATTACCGAGCTTCCGGACCCCGCCGTCCTTCCGTCCCCTCCCCCTCCCCCCCCCGCTGTCGTCAGGAGCTAGTATTGGCGCTAGCGAGGCCACGTGTTGGTTTCGAACCTAAATGCGCAGGTTCGGAACAAAGGCGCGTCAAGTCGCCGCCACGCGACGCGGCAGCGGTAACGAGATGTGCGAGCACGTGCATTTCGCATGCCGCGGGCGACGAAGAAGTGGTCCACTCGTGAGCGACTCACCGCCATTCGCTTCTGGTTCTCCTGAATCCGCTGCTTCCGCGCAGCTTCGTACTCCGACTGCGCGGGCGGAAGCTCCGGCGCCATGTGCGGAGTACGGCGGAACGAGGGGCGGAGAAAGAGAGGACGGCGGACCGAGAGGCGAAGAAAAGAGAGGACGGCGGAACGACAGGGCGGCGGAACGCGAGGGGGGGCGAGAGAAAAAGGGGGCAAATGAGCTGTTGTCTAAAAGCGTGTGGAATGGAGGTTGGGTTGGGAGGTGGAGATGGAGGGAAATATGACTCCCGAGATTTGCCTCCAGAAACCTCGCTGGTTCAGCTAGGCTGTGGGACAACTCATCTCTGACGAGGAGTTGTACAAGAGTGTACAGGGTAACCTGCACACACTTTAATTTTCGTGAATGATCATGTCATATCGAATGTCAATGCCAGAATGAATAAGGCACAGGTATCTTTATCGAGCTCGTCACTGTATACACCTCAAAGACCAAAGCTGTTACGTGGTACTTTACTGTTCAAGGGTATTTTACCCTAAACAGTCTCCCAACCCGATCCCAACCTTATCTCCATCCAATCCCTTTGGGATTTCCTTGATTTCCTTGTGCCACGTGGCACTCTACCTTTCTTGCATTCTACTTCGTAGTCCCACGAACTACTTTCCGACATTCGCTCTTGCATGCTATATCAACCTTGCTTGTACTTGCCATTATCAACCAATTCTTATTCAACTATTACTCAGTTACTTCTTCGCATATTTCGCTAAGACTTTCTTCGCCAAAGACTTCCGCCGCGCTTCATCCTCAATTTAGTCAACCCCGCTATTCTTAAGCGGATTTAGGCCAAGGGGCCCAATACTTGGAATCAAGAGCCTCCGCGGGGAGCGACTTCCAACGAGCGACCGTCGACGACGAGACTACGACGTCATCGTCCCGCGATGCCGACTTGGAGTCGTCGAGCCAACATGGACGAGACCATGAACGCTCTCCCCAACGACATGGGCAACACTCTTGCTCAACTCATGCGCCAACTCGAAACGTTGACGCTGGAAAATCGTCAGGTACGGGCTGAAATGCAATAGCTTCGTGAATTCGCGTCTATTCCTCTTGGTCATGCCGCACCATCTCCTGCATCCAACACGTCGACTGGCGCGGAAGCGCTGCCGGAACGTCGAAGCGCGCTCAAGCCGCAGAAAACCGAGCCGTTCGACCCAAGTCAACGCGACGCGAACGTGCGGACGCAGATCTTCATGCTCAACAACTACTTCGCCGCAAGCGGGGTGCAAGAGGCGGACGCACAGCAGTGGATCGTGTACTCCGTTACGCTGCTGAGGGGCCCGGTCTTGGAGTGGTGGCACCAACTCACGCAAACTGCTGTAAGAAGGGCTCATTTGGACGGGCATCAACAGGACGAGGGGCATGCAGCTGCAACTTCGAGCTTAGGGAGTCTAGCTTTGGGTGTTACCACGGTTCCGACGATATAGGAAGGATTTGAAGCGGCGCTGAAAAGTAGATTCGACTTGGTGAATACCTCCGAAGCTGTTAGGAAGCGTCTGCGTCATTTCCGCCAGATAGGAAACGTCAAGGAGTACACACGACGGTTCTTAAGCATCTGCAACGAGATAGACGACATCACGGAAGCAGAGATGCGCGATCGCTACCTCGAAAGGTTAAAGTCGGACATAGCGGAGATTATCGCGATTCACGGGTGGCCACCTTCGAGTCAGTAATCGCAGCAGTAGAACGCGTCGGCGCAGTACGAAGCCGACGGGGTCGTGACGATCGCGATAGGAGATACAACAGACCGATCAACGATTCTCGCTCGAGGGACGGACCGTCGCCCATGGAGATTGGTGCAGTTAACAGTGACGGCTCATAGAAAACGGGTTTCAGGGGGAACTGTCACTACTGCAAAAAGCCGGGACAGATGAAGCGGGACTGCCCACAGCTTAAGGAGCGGCAGCAGGGAAACGGAAACCGCCAGTAGATAGCGGGTCGCTAGCTGGTGTGAGCGCTTCCGAACCCGCCAAGTCTACCAACGTAGAGGAGACGGCCTTAGAGCAGTCATCTACGCCGAACGAGGTAGACACTGTTGATCGTCCAGTCGTGCTTCTAGGGAAGCTTCGTGGAGTTCCTGTCAAGATTCTCGTCGATAGCGGAGCTAGCCATTCGTTTGTCTCTTCATCGCTAGTTTCTCGTCTCCATCTCGAAGCAGATTCGGCAGTAAACTTCAAGGACGCTTGCATGGTAGATGGGACGCCGCTTCACATAGGACCAGTCTGTCAGAGGTCCACTGGTGATCCCCGATTGATCATAGGGAAGGGTTACAGGCTACTTGTCCTGGGGGGTTATGGGCGCACTGACCCGCTACTTAACAAGCCCTTTTATCCCAATGGTCTAGTGGTTGGGATTCTGACATGGTATCAGAGCGAAGGTCTCGGGTTCGAATCCCAGTGTGTGCACTTCGGGCATCCCATTGCGGGGGGGTGTCAGAGGTCCACTGGTGATCCCCGATTGATCCTAGGGAAGAGTTACAGGCTACTTGTCCTGGGGGGTTATGGGCGCACTGACCCGCTACTTAACAAGCCCTTTTATCCCAATGGTCTAGTGGTTGGGATTCTGACACAGTCATTCGCAAGTTGCGCGTAGTACTAGGACCAATCACGGTTAGGCGTAATTTTGAATCTGCGACACTGGACGGTTACGATTTCATCTTCGGTAGAGATTGGTTGCGAACGGTTAGTAATCAGTTCGATTGGGCTCAGGGAAGCTGCAGCGTCAAGATAGATGGCGAGTTCCGAGAGCTGCCACAGTGGAGCGATGGGGCCACATCATCCACAGCTATCATCAATGCTGTTCATGTGCGGCAGCTGGTGAAGCGTGCGGCACGGATCTTCGTGGTTTTCCTTGAGGTGGAAGTTGAGGAGGGAAAAGGAGGGAGCGCAGCAGTTAGCGATAAGACAACTCTTCCTGCTGAAGTGAGTGCACTCTTAGCGGAGTTTAGAGACGTCTTTCCCGACGAGTTGGCCCCAGGGTTACCTCCTAGCCGAGCAATCGACCATCGGATAGAGTTGGAGTCGGGGAGCAGGCCAGTAGCGAAGCCGCAGTAGAGGTTGAGTCCAGCAGAGACAGAGGAGATGACGCAGCAGGCTAGGCACTTTCTCGCGCAGGGTTTCATACAGCCATCTAGATCGCCTCGGGAAGCACCGATCATTTTCGCACCTAAGAAAGACGGAGGGTTACGGATGTGCATAGACTGCCGCGCACTGAACGCCGCCACCGTCAAGAATAGGTTCACGGTGCAAAGAGTAGAGGATCTTCTAGATGCAGTGCAAGGCGCTAGAGTCTTCTCAAAGATCGACATTCGTTTGGGCTACCACCAGATTTGCGTAGTTCCAGAGGACCAGCACAAGACGGAGTTTTGTACGAACCAGGGGTTGTACGAGTTTAGGGTTCTACCGTTCGGATTGACCAACGCCCCAGCAACGTTTCAGACGCTCATGAACACCGTCCTTTCCGAGTTTCTAGGTTCGTTCATCGTAGTTTACCTAGACGATATCTTCATCTTCTCCACGACGAAAGAGGAGCATGTGCTTCACTTGCAGAAGGTCTTCGAGGTCTTGCGGAGGGAGCAGCTGTACGCGGAGCAGTCCAAGTGCGAGTTCTTCCTTCGAGAGGTCGAGTTCCTAGGTCACGTCGTATCCGCTAGTGGCATTAGGACCGACCCGAAGAAGATCGCAACAGTACAGGATTGGGTAGCTCCGACCTCAGTCAAGGGGTTGCAGAGCTTTCTCGGATTCGCGAAATACAACCATCATTTCGTTCAGGGTTACGCATCGATAGCTAGTCCACTCACCGACTTACTTCGAAAGGGCGTAGATTTCGATTGGGGTCCAGTGCAGCAGCAGACGTTCGAGCAGATGAAGCAGTCGCTCACGTCTTCACCGACACTGTCGTACCCGGATCCTATCCGCCTGTATGTTGTAGTGACCGACGCTTCAGACAAGGCCATAGGAGCAGTACTTCTTCAGGACCAGGGCCGCGGGTTGCAGCCGATAGTGTACGAGTAGGGCAAGCTTAGGGGAGCAGAGCTGAACTATCCTATACACGACAAGGAGGTGCTCGCGATCATACATGCGTATAAAGTGTGGAGGTGCTACCTAGAGGGGGCAGATAGTGTTATTGTTAGAAAAAAGAAAGAAGAATGACAGCAGTACAGGGTTTGTATAGCAAAACCTAATTGGGCTGTACCCCATAAGGAGTGCCCCACTACAGCCTAGAGCATATAAATGCATAGTTTTGACACACCCCCATAGGCAAAGTGGGGGACAAGCAAGAGAACGAAGCAAGGTCAAGCTTAGGGTGGACCACAACGTCACCACGCAGTCCGAGCACAAGCAAATGGCCACAAGGCCTGTCCACATGCAGAGTTATATAAAGGAGAACAAGCAGTACAGTGATCACAACCTAGCAAGTGTATGCTTGCAGGTATATGTATATAGATCACAGTACAAGCAAAGTCAAGAAGTGAGCAAGTGAGGCCAAGTAGGCACAAGGCCTAGAACAGTACAGAAACGCTGATGATCACAAGGCTAAAGTGCCTTGGTGAAGATATCAGCAGTGTTGGCCTGAGAGGCCACGTAAACAAGACGAAGCTGACCACGCTGCTGCAACTCTCGAGCAAGGAAGTA